ATTTCCATCATAGAAAAGATCATCCAAACTCACTTGTATGCCATTTGCTACCCCACACGATACAGGAGAATTATGCATTGTTAATTGTAACTGTTTTCTTATACAGCTTTGTCCAAGAATGGTGAACAAAAAAATGGCAAAGCCAAATAACCAAAACTCTCTACATGCTTAGTGATTCTGCTGTTGCTAATATATGTTGGTCCTGCCCCTGGTTCCTGCCTCTCTGCTGGACATATCACTGCTCCATCGGTGCTGAAGTGTAATTTCCGCCTCGATACTCAGGGGAACGTAAACATGTGAAAAGCCAGAAATTCCCCACCAAAAAATAAGTAACCACTTGTTTTCCCGTGCGATATTATTCCTGCTGGTTCTTTGGATGTGTTGCAAGTCTCTTCCAACATGTGTGTTTATTCTCTGCCTCCCAAAGCCATGCAGCTTCCCAAGAAGCCAGAGATTTCCCTTCTTTGAGCCGATATTACGGTGGAAAGGTCCACTTGGGGATTGGCCCGATCTCAGTGTTTACCGTAATAAAAAATGAGGCTGCACCAGAAATAAAAAATTTATGGTCAAAAACTTGCATTTTGTGTGGATACTGTGGGTCTAGGTACTGCAACAAGACATATGATGTAGCAATCGATTCCCAATACCCAACTGCAATCTGCCTTCATGGTGATGGTCACCCCAGTGTCTGATTTACATGCTGAGGATACAGAGTTTCAAAAGATGGAGGCAATGAGTTTTCAGAATGAGATCACTGGGAGTATGGAGTTGGACTCTACAATAGTAGGATTGAGAAAGCTGCAACATTGTAATGATTGTGAAACCAAACTTGCAGCAGATTCTTATAAATGGCATGCATACTTGTTCCTCTGTTGCAATGAGGAATGAGTAATACTTTGTAATCATTTTCTATAAGCATTGTTTCCTACAATATAAGACTACATGGGACTCTAACATTGCATGCAGCCGCCACTGCCCTTTGATCTAGATTCAGAATGTGAGATTACCCTTCGTACCATAATCCTTCTTAGCCACTCCAAAGATGGCAGTATTGTCCTGGCATCTGAACCTACCTGTATCTAGTTCCCTAAGGACAGGCCAAGGACTTCTACCAAGACATTTCCTCATAGGAAATAATGGATAATGCTGTAAGTGATTTTTTGTAGTGAACTAAAGCAAGGAAATACCCGGTCGCTCCCTTCTGCTTTCATCAAACTAGATGCACGGTGGAAAACCCCTGATTAAACTCACGGGCTTGCCAGAGATACCAGTCAGACTCAGATGCCTTTCCTGAACTTGGAGATACTGCACAGCCTTTGGAAACAAGCATCGTATTCTGTCATCCTCATGTTGGTCCGATATAAAACACGAAGTGGAAGGAAATACGATTTCCGTCTAGTCTAACTTTATATGACTGACTTCATGCTTCAGCAGAAAGTGACTTCAATTTCCTGTTTCATCTGATCACAGGGCTTATTACAACATATATAGAAAAAACACAGGGGCCAGACAATATTTTTAAGGATTACCAGTGGACATCCAATACACTCAGAACTATCAATAACATTTGTTCACTTACTGCGCATGACAGGGGAAATGACACATTAACTGTGCTGGACAATGAACACTTCAGTGCCACAAGCAGCTCTCCAGCCACGCAAACACAGCACTTCCACAAGCTACCTGCTTGGGGTGTATCTGGCCATTCTGCGATGGTCATCCAGTCAACACAGAATTATATCCTAAGTCCTATACGATTTACAAAACAATACACTAAATGCAAAACTATTTTAAGTCTAATTTCTCGAGTAATGAGCATCAGAAGCAGGTTATTTGCTCTTTATCCTGATTATATGTGTTACGAATACGGTGGCGCCATTGCTGCTCATTTCCAAGAGTAAGGGTTCGAATGCCAGCCTGGTTTTGTGTGACGTTTGCAGCTTTTGCAGTTCAAAGGCATGCAGTTAGGCTAATTGGTGCCTCAAAGTAAGTGTGTGTGTGCCCTGTGATGGACTGGCATCCCGTTCAGAGTGTACCCCAGGCTTGTGCCCTATGCAGTCTGGGAAGGGCTCCAAGCAGTCTTTCGACCATGACCAGGTTAAGCGGTTAGAAAATGGACGGATGTGCTTCCTGTTGGGCAAGCACCTTCAAAAATAAATTCCCTCAAATAATAATTCCATAATAAATGAAAGGGGGAAATATAAAACCGTAGATCGTGATACAAACAGAAGGAAGATGTCTCAAACAGCTGTGTTACTTCTGTGTAAGAGGGGAGAAACAGCCATTTGGAAAGCCAGCAAGACACACCTTGTCCATTAGAACCTTTATAATGCCCCATACTCCATGTCGATCTGTGAGGTACATTATCCCTGCAATTACATGAAACTTAAGAGAATCCATTGTAATAGAAAAGATTTTGTGGAGGGACAAGACTGAACGCTGTATTATCATTTCATTTGCACTTGACCAAAAGACAATGCCATCTTCTGTCCATTGTTCTCATGGGTGACATTCAGCAAACAGCCAGATACAACTTAAACCAGCTGTAAAACTGGAATGTTAATAAGGAGCTTCACGTGCCTCTGTCGTCAGTGAGTGTTTCACAAAACCCTGCCCATCTCTGGTGTCTGAAAATAGGAAAACCTTTGTCAGCACCCATCATCCTTTGCATCTTTCTATTTCTATACCACTATCAACACACATATCAAAGGACATGTTTAGGTTTCACCTTTGTGTGAATGCAGCAATCAGAAAAAACAATGTATTATCACACTAAATAACAAACACTCCATCCTTGGCACTTGTCATTTTGTTTAAATGGCAGTTAAAATCCCAGATTACTTAATTCAAGCAGTTGGCACTGGTCGGACGAGACTCCATCTGCTTGAAAGTGAAAAGCCACTAATCAAATCATGTTTAGCATCTCGTCCCTTGCACAGAAAGGCGAATAAACATGCAACTAATAGGCCAAGGTTTTTGTCATTGCCCATATTCACTCACCGCGTTTATTACCCCCTTTACAAGGTTACGACTGCCTAAAACGTTTACGATAGCAATCCAGCATAATGATCACGTGCTTATAACCACGCCGTGCAGAAGCAGGGCTGACACCAGGCCACTCACGCGCTGCATGTCAAACAGCCCCCCGACGAAGTATGAACATGACGGAATGACTACGTCGTGATTCTAATACATTTGTGCACGGACGCATTTTATGCTCCCGAAATATTTATCTAACAAACAATCCGCTAAAACTCCCCAGTACAGTGCTGACGCTGGGCCACAGCTCACATCAGGCGGGTGAGGTTTAACCCCGCGCGTGCTGGCCGACGCCGCCGCCCCAAGTTTGCGAACAAGTCCCCGCCCAACCAGTACAATAGGCCGCCCGGGGGGCGGGTCAGAGAACCGGGTTCGGTTCTGCGCGTAACTCCCCCCCCCAAGAGGAAGAGGAAAAAAAACATACGATTACAACTACCTCACTTCTTTACTTGCCACGGACAGGCGGGGAAGCTTGGTTCCATCGCCGCTGTATAGTCTGACATTTATTTACCAAGTGAATATACTATATGTGCATTTTGTTTTTATTTTAGCTAAGTGACAGCTAACTAGCTAGCCCAGTTATCGCCCAAAATCTCCCTTGCAAAACTGATATCGCTCCGTCAACGCTGCACGACAGAGACTGCGCGTGCCTGGGCATATGCATACAAATATATTCCTGAAAATATATATTATACTAATAAACAATATTACGCCAGACGCCAAACTGGCTTGGTAGGTTGTGTGAATTCCTTGCGCTTTGGGGATGCTAGCTGGCAGCTGGCCATTGTTTACAAGGACACTACCCACGTAATTTTCTCGTTTGAATACCTAAGAGGTGTTGCACACGAATCCGGGTAATACTGAGCACAGTGATGTATCTGAGCGTTTTAAACGGTGGCGTAGCCTCTAATTTAACAGACTACCGAGTTAAATAGGCAGCCGACTGGGCAAGCCCTTACGTGAAGAAGGGTCGAGAAGCACAGCATAAACCCACCGTTAACTAATATCATGGACAATTACATAAGCGTAAGGTTGCCCATTAATGAATGCTAAAATTACTGCACAATAACTCTTCTGGCAAACATTTATAAGCACGTAAGCCCAGACTCATACACCCACTTAGGCCATTTCACAGTTGTTTACGTTTCTTGTTCGAACTCCTTCAATCTCACTGCGCTTCCTTTCAGCGAGTGAGAAAAGGGCGGACAACCGATATCGCTCCGCGCTGCCGTTGACATGATTTATGCCATGTAAACACTCAAAATGTTTAATACTAAATTAATCAAACTACTTCTCAAAAACTATAAAGTACACATTTAGCCGTTCCTAGATTTTAATTCCAGCAACATATAAAATTTAAAAAAGAACTAGTTTATGCATGCGGAACCCTGTACTTTGTCCTGCAAGAGGAAATTCTGCATACGCCAGAAAATCGGAACCAAATGACACTTCCAAAAACGTGAAAAGTCAAATTATCTATTTTAAGTTTTAAGCCTACATACTCAGATTATATTATAATCTATATACACGTTTCCTGTCTTGTGTACAAATTTAACTTAAAATATATACACGTCCCCCCTATTTCTTCATTTGGTAGCGTCAAAGAAGTGGCCCGTCCTGCTTTTCTTATAGGAGAACTGGATCTATGATTGATTGTCAAAAACGCCTATTGAAATAGAGTTTAAGCTTAGCAACAGAGTACCAACCTTTCTAGCCAATAGCATTTCTAAATGGGCGGGTCTTGTTCGTTCTATATCGCGAAATGCGATTGGTTTATATATTGGCTACAGTTTTTAGAATTGTGGTCCAGGTAGTTTTTAGGACGACGTTACTATATCATCAATGGCGCATATAAACTACAGTTCCCGAAGGACGATTAGACACCAGAACAGTCGCATGCGCACAGACGTCGACAGAGTTCCTATATAAACGGGAGCTCTTGTATTTGTAGTAGTATACTTGGATACTGTTGTGGCGGCGTGGTCGAAGTCAGCAAAGTAAAGCAATTTCCATCGGCACTGAAAGAGTTAACGGTAGTTACGGCAGCTCTGACGACTCATTTAAATTGACAAATGTGATCATTCAGAATAAGTTGTTTTTTTACGTCGAACTTACATGAAGACTAACTAAATGTTACTGTTATGTAACAAGAATAAAACTTTGCAGAGTCGGAAGATATTTTAAGGACTTTTTAGGAAAGCCGAGTATTGGACTTTATAGAGAAAGTGGAAGGGTAAATTGCCCATCATTTCTTTTTGCAAACATCAGGATGTCAGAACCTGAGGACCAGAGTACTCCTCAGACGAAAACTTCACATGCCCTTTCAGGTGGGAGCGCTACAGTTTTGGAGCATCCTGTAGCCAATGAGAACGGCGGGGCACAGTGCGCCGATAGGGGGCGATGCGCCGATGGACAGCAGACCGAGGGCGGCAGCAGCGGCGGCACTATCGCGGAGAATCTATGGAACAGACAAGGTGGGCAGCAGGAGGTGTGCGCGGGCATGGTGGCTGGAAACGCGCACCCCAAATGCCCCGTGGTGACCAAACCTTGTCAGGAACCCGAAGCCGACACGGCAGGTGAGGGGGGACTTGTCGCGCACGGCAACAGCGGAGATGGACCCACCGAGGAAACCCACAGTCAGGTTCAAGGCGAGAGCGGTAAGCACGTTATGAGGATGAACTCGGGGTCTTCTGGAGCCCGGCCCCAGGCCTTACCCGATGCACGGATGGGGAAGAAGAAGCACCGGCGGCGGCCCTCCAAGAAGAAGCGACGCTGGAAGCCGTACTTCAAGTTGTCGTGGGAGGAGAAGAAGGAACTAGACGAGCGGGAGACCGCACGGGCATCCAGGGTGCGAGCGGAGATGTTCGCCAAGGGTCTTCCGGTGGCCCCTTACAACACCACGCAGTTTCTAATGGAGGAGCACGACCGGGAGGAACCGGACCTCAACACCGAGCTGGCCAGCCGCCGCTTTTTGGGGGCGAGTCGCTCGGAGGACACCTTCAGCGAGGAGGACTTCTTTGAAATAGACGAGGAGGAGGAGGACGGCAGCGGCGGGGGCAGCGACGGCATCGGGAGGCCGGGCAACGTCGGGGGAGAATTCCTCCAGAGGGACTTCTCGGAGACTTACGAGAAATACCACGTCGAGAGCCTCCAGAACATGACCAAGCAGGAGCTGGTGCGGGAGTACCTGGAGCTGGAGAAGTGCATGTCCCGCTTGGAAGAGGAGAATAATCGGCTGCGGCGTGCCGGGAAAAGCCCGGAGGCGGTGGCAGAGGAGAGCCCGGTCTCCCTGCCCGAGCGATCGCGGGTCAGGGAGCTGGAGGTGGAACTTGAGAAACTGAGGGCGCAGAATAGCGAGCTCCGGCAGCAGAACCAGCAGTGGAGGGAAAGTGTGCACGCCGAGTGAGCGGCTGTGCAGTGGGGCGTGTGCCCGTGGGAAAAAAATAAATAAGGCGAGTTTTTCAGTTTTGACGATGTAAGTATTTTAAATTTGCGATGCGTTTTATATAATCAGTTTGATAAATTGGACTGTCCAAATTTCTCCATTTGCAATACTTTGTTCATTTTTTTTTATGATAGACAACGGAGACTTTTTCAATATGCGGTGTGTGTATATACATATATATTCAATTTTTTAAGAGAGATTATATGGGGAAAAGAGTCGTGTTTTGTCGTTTTTTTTTTTCTTTTCTTTTCAAAGGTGTCGTGTGTATAAAAATATACAGTCCCCAAGATTCTTGGACTTATTGCTTGCATTTCGGCCACATCTAATTTAATTTTTGGAGAAATCTCCCCTAGACCGCCTCTAAAGAAATCTGTTATTGAATTTGTAAATACAGAAATACAATCGAGGTGTTTTGTGTCATTATTCGTTTATTAACGGAATAGTTGAGTAATTTCAAAAGTGTACACAAGTTCATCTAATTAAATTGGCAAGCTACATTATGCCAAATAATCCTAGGGGTAGGTTCATTGTAATGCTGATTTACGCACTCTTTAACCAAACTGTCACTTCACCTGCTATATCAGCCTTATTCTTTAACTGTGATGATAATCTTACAAGTATTTGGATTGGATGGTCATGTTATAGATGGGTTTACGTCTTGCCCACATTACACAATGAAGATGCAACACAAGGTTCAGACATAGTTCAGTGTTTGTGTGTTACAGTGAACAAACAATTCATGAATGTATATATCAGGTTACCCTATAGAAAATGGTTACCCTTAAGCCATGTTGTACCTCGATGCCTCTATCCTGTTTGTTTCAGATTAGCCGTGTGGTAATTTACATCGAAGTTCATTTAACTGTTCATGAAGAAGCAATGATGGACACTAATGACCGACCACCGTGTCATTTAAATGCTTTATCTTAAAACACTGAAGACAAGACTTGTTGGGGACATTTTTCTTGATTGTTTTTGCAGAATTATGCATGTCTAAAGGAGTATATACGAACCAGCAATGTCTCATTTTAGGATTGTCACTGAACCAAATGCACTTTTTTTTTCATAACTTCATACAACCACGAAAGACTTCTCGACTCCAGTACCATTTTGTTACTAGTTTGGCTGCAAAACTATAATCTTAGCTCTTGCATGTAGGATTAAAACAAAACCCACTAACACAGCATATCAGGTATCAGTCATCTATAGGTATATTGTAGTAAAATTCGGCCAAATTTCAAGTTTTTGATGAAGTGACCAATGACAGCCTTACTCCTATCCTCAGTTTTTTTTTTGTTTTGTACACAAAAGGCCATGTGGCAACAGGCCAATTTGGTTGCAGAAGTGATGCTTGCAGCAAGAATGCAGGAAGGAAGGACGGTTGTTATCGTGACCCTGCCCCCACTGAGACACGTACAGGCTCATCACACCGATGCACAAAATAGGGGGGGGGGTTCAGACTGGCAAGACTGCCATGTTTAACCTGTCTGTGAAAAGCAGTGGGATTCTGACTGGCACCGGTGTTCTTAGTGGGCATCGTTCTGCACAGCGTATGTGGGGGAGGGGCAAAATGATAAGACTATCATTGCGGGGGGAAAGTGGGTATCTGAAAGGAGAAGCCAGTTTACTGTATCTGATTTATGACAGGGATGGGCGATGCTGCACATTTACATGGAAATTGCTGGGGTCTCAAGTTAATTGCCACCTGCAGTGTTTTTGTATAAAAATTTATATAATAAAGGAGAGATAAATGAGGGGTGAAAATCAGAATATGAGGCAGTTTAGCATTAAAGTTTCTGGGTGTCCCTTGCTGGCATTTGCGGTTTGCTTTACATCCAGCTGATCCTCAGCTCGACTACGACGGCGGCACAATGATCTGAGCTCTGTCCTTTGAAACAATCTGTTTTAAGCACGTTTGACAAATTAAAAACAAAAGCTCTTTGACCCATTGGAAGGCAGCTGAACAGATTCCCATTAAGACAGGTTACATATATTTAGAATGAAGCACAAGGTGGGTACAAAATATATTTTCTGACATATACGAGAAATTAGCCGTATGGCCATATCAGTTCCAGATTAATATAATTTCTAATGGAATTAATTTTATGCCCCACTGGAGCAGAAACTGCTGTTAGTGTTATATCCAACAATAAGCAAACAGAAATAATCAAGGGGAATTAATCCCTATATGAATATTTAAGGATTTCATTAAATAAACATTTGGGTTAACATGCTGCAACTGTTTATGGTCTGATGGCATAAACATTTGGCCTAATAACTATGCACAAGCACACAGTATATTAGCATTTGTTTTAGGATTAAGATCAATTCAGCATTGCAATAAAGCGACGCCCCTTTACTTTCATTTCCTGCGTGTTGGAAACTAAACTAAGACATCCTGAGGAACGTCGTCAAGATGGAAGATTTCAACGCTTTTTACGTACTAACACAACCAGCAGGGCACAATATAATGCACAGGTCTTTATGGTCCGTTTACTTATTGTCATATGAGTCGCAGGTACGTGATATACTGATGTGGAAATGAAATGGTGGAAGAACAAAAACTAGATTGTCTAATCGTTGTCAACCATGTCTTAGCACAGACGACTCTTACACATATGCAGGCCAAAACTATTTCGCCAAAGGCTGCGTGCCACGTTTTCGCCAGATAAAGAGCAGTCCTTTAAATATTACCCAGCAGTTTTAAATATTAAACCAAATTTATCTGGAAGATATGAGCACAAGTCATATCAAATAACTGAACTTATCTTTCTCGATCTGAGAAAAATGAATAACGGATCATTTTTAAATAACATTCTTAATTTGCGATTAGTCTGTACCAGGCTTGTGGTTAATATTTTCTAAAAAATCTTAAGAAACAATCTGCCAGCTCACGGAATGCCCTATACTCAGGCCTTGTCCCACTTTCAATCCCCGCAATTTCCTGAGATGTCCCGCCCCACGTACGCAGAGCTGAATGCTCCGCACCGATAACGTGGTCATGGATTTTCATTCAGCCTAAACAGCCATATGCTTTTCGTTATGCCACGGTAGAATAATTGATCCTCCAGCAAATAAGGAGTAAAAGATAATATATCGTGTTTAAAGTAATAAACTGACGACACAAGGCCCTTCGCCCATATACAAAGATAATAATTTTGTCTAGATATCCAGTATGTTATCATACAACTAATGACTTGTAAATGGCAGCTATCAGTCAGAAATACACAAAAAAAATTACACACAGACTTCCCAGTTACGGGCCACAACCAACTGATTGAGACGCTATATATTTCACATTCATGGCAGCAATAGCAGCTTGACCGCTAGCTAATGCTAATATTGAGTTTTGCTTACGTTTATCGATATTAGCCGTTAAAGTGCATCAAATATTTAATAAACTACCCACTAAACTACGAAAAAACCCAAAAAACTTTGTGTGTATTAAGGCACTTCATGTGAAACCGTAATTTTGAAAAGTGCTTAACTGTAATCAAAGCTGCCGTTCCTAGCAGTCTGGAGAAGTGACGTACTGAAGACGGCGACGCCCGGGAGTTCCAGGTCTCGCGGGGCACGATGGGATATGTAGTCGCCGCCGCTCACGTGTACGAAGTTTTAACATTAAATTGTGGTCGAGAAAACTCTGAGGTTAACCTGAGGTAATATATTATGTTATACACCTCAGACACACAATTAGGCCTATATAATATGTCAAACAGACGAACTCTTCCATAATAACACGCTACTTTTAGTTTTCAGTTTACTGTAAATTCCAGGTTACTGGTCGACTACTACATGGCGCCCCCTACTGGCTGATTTTGTTTAATATATTTTAAATCTAAGATCCAATTCACCATTTCGTCGCTAACCTCTGGAGCTTTTCCCAGAAACTCCCGGCGCAAAGCAGGGAACAACCCAGGATAGGGCGCCAACCCATCGCCAGGCATACGCACACACCATTCATACACCATTCACACCTACGGGCAATTTGGTAAATCCAGTAACCTCAGCATGTTGTTGGACTGTGGGGAGAAACCGGAGTACCTGGAGGAAAACCCACAACTACAAGCCTTTCGTTGCTACAAATTGCTACATATTTTTTTATGCACTCACGAAGTAAATAATGTACGTGTTAAAATTATATGATTTAATCGAATAATAATAATAGCCGTGATCTGTTTAACGCTGGTTATACAAAACCGAATACATCTGTACAGAACAATGTGCAATAGTAATGGCACTGAGATAAACTTACAGATTGAACTTGTTCCATCCATCCATCCTCCAACTGCTTATCCTGGTCTGCGTTACGGGGGAGTCCAAATATTATTCTACATTCAAATTGTATGATTTCCAGTGTGGTCAGTGTCATATTAGCACAGTCAATTATGGTAACACACCAATTAGAACAGGAAAGATCGGTGAAAGGTGGCAAAGCGCCAAACGCCTTTAAGATAAAAATCACACCAAATCATCATACATCATGTGAACAACTATAAAACCCGATTAATTGTTTATTTCCCATTCTTTTTTATTTAAAACATATATTTCCGTTCAATAACTAGCATTTTAGAGTAGCGAGCCATGTAAGAATTAGGGACCTGTATCATGCAGTCAGTTAGGACATTTTGATATGACGTAATTCACTAACAATGACGTAAAAGTCCTTTACATAATATGTTACACGTTCTGAGACAATATATACAAACATATCAAACTAAAACCACAAAGGCTGCATACATTTTCAATTTCAGATACGGTGGACACAAAATTATTCGCATTATTTTTCTTAAATTTAGGTGTAAACCTCACTCAGGACCTAGGCTATATGACGTTTGACGCTGTTTTTGGAAAATGGACAGTTATAGCACTATCATACAATACATGTTTCAGAGTTTTCACACAGACAGTTTTTTTTGTATGTCACCTTTGGTTTCTCATATGCTTTCCTGCAAAAAAAAAAAAACACACACAACGCACATTTCTTCCTGACAGACTCTTATAAAATACATTTTTGAGAGAAGAAACCGCGTAGCTGTCTGCATCCTCTCAGTGTGCTTCAGAGTGAGGTAAATGCAATTTCTGTACATGTTCCTTTATTTATCATTCCCTGAATTCTTCAAACTTTGAAATGTGTTGCGAAGTACAAGATGATCGTAAATAAGCGGAGAATTACTTTGTGTGACCGGAAGAGTGTGGGATAGGCGTAAAAATGAGGCACTTCCAGGGCACCTCTAAGATATTAAAGGCAGGGAAATGACAGGAAAAACCATTTCACAGCAGTTTAACCACCTTGCCAGACAGGGCGAATCGAAAGCAGCTCAGGAATATATTATAATCTCTAATGGCATACAACATAGTAAAAACTGACGAATACTTATGAACCCCGTTTGGTTGGCCTGTCACAAGAACTCATACGTCCACTGCATCACAAAATAATGCACTGGTTTAACTGTTGTCATGTAATAAATGCTGCGTCCATCTTTACAGTGATCCACAAAGTAAGGATTCCCAAAATAAGCAAAGCCAAATCATGCCCGCTGTTATTTTACCTTTAACATTAACAAACCCAATGCATTGCATGGCAAATGTAGTTGTTTTGACATATATTAAACTTATATAACACACAGGTGACACGTATACGGTTTTAATAAAACACATCTAAATGTCTGGTATTCAATAACAGCATAAACAATCAGTTCCATGCTACATTTGAATATGTAATCATTTGCATATACAATTTAGTAGGGCCTATACTTTAGGGCAACGCATCACGTTTTTCTATGCATGGTCCACAGAAACATAAAACGTATTACTTAAAACTTTTTGAATCAGAATCCAAAACCAAAATGGTGGACAAGACCAACTGTAACCTTTAAAACGCCATAGTAATTGCATTGAGAATGAATACAGTCTTATCTCTAAAACGACACAATAACAGTAGAGAACAATGGTCAGTGGTCACCAGTAGGCGCTTTTCTGGGAGATGGTTACTAAATAAGTATCCCATTGTCCATTGTTCTTAGAGCTGCCACACCAAAGGACTGCATTAGCAAAGCAACGGATTCATTCACATCAAACTTGGCGAAAACAAATTAGGAGCCAGTTTTTGTTTTTTTATATATATATCCTGTGGTGGGGACACATGACACGATCAGACTACACTCCACAAAAGACACTCTTCTTGCCTAAGTTCTTTCAGTATAAGAAATGCATGAATGGAAGAAAAAAAAACATAAAAAATAATGAAAAATAAAACAGGCGATCACTGCTGCTGTAGAGTTATGGAGGTGATGGCATTCACAACAAAACCTAAAGCGATTCTCCCGCCAGTTGCTCTTTCTGGGTGAATGGAAACGGATCAGTGGAGTTTGCATGCATGACCAAGGAGGCGCCGCTGCTGCAGGTGGCAACGAGAACCGTTTCATTGAAAAAGTGCCGCGATTTTGCATAGGCTAAATTGTTTTGGTCTTTTCCATACCGTGTATCAATATTTTATAACCACGCCCTTTGTAGTGGCATGATGTGTAACCAGGATATCATTTGTTTCAGTTTACCCCTTATAGGCTACATGAATCGGCTTTAGTTTCCATGTGAGAAAAACATATGGAATCAGTTAGCAAAACAGTTTAATGGGCGGAACTTTGGGGAAGGTGAATTGAAATTAATCTTGGTCACTGTTTTGAGAACCTTCACTGAAAACAGGGTAAAGAAGTAAAATTACACGTTTGTTTTCTTCTTCAGAAAGTGAATTTAATACCAGTAAAGGTTTAGCGCTGTGAAAGTAGCTGTGTGTTGGTTTTCCAAAAGAATGACGCCAGAGGGCCATTGAAGTGCTGGACTTGGGACCGAGAGAGTCCCGGGCGAGAGACTGTTGAATCGCACTGGACACAATTTATTGTATCTGAAGCAACTTACTTCAGCAGACTCCCCCCCCAGTCGTAACAACAAGTGGAATGCTGGTTATTTTATTTTATTTAAGGTTTATGACCTTAGGTTTGCTACTTCCCTTCAATCAGATTTAGGAATTTCTTTTTGTTACTCAGCAACAGAGAAAGACAGAAGTCTTTTTTGTTGAGTTTAGTCTTTTTTTTTTTAGTATTACACAGGAACACCCAGATGATTCAAATCACAATAAAAGTACTTTTTTCCCCCCATACAAAAAATATATAATATACTGCATATAAAACAAAAGAAAAAGAAATTAAGGGAAATATTTCAAGTAACATCTTAAAGGAAGTGATTGTGCACCTGAATGCACTGTTGTAAACAATGGAAAAAATAATATAATGTATTATATATAATATATACACAAGGTTAACTTAGCAAGGCTCTGTACAAATGTTACAAAACAGTTCCACACGCGTTAATGTACACACACACATGCGCGCACACACTCCTACCCATACAAGTTTTTTGCGCAGGCATACTGGTTCATATGCACATTTTCAGATGGACGTGTTAGGGGGTGAGGCTTACAGCTGAGGTCATGGGGGCGGGGGGAGGCTGGTGGTTTGTGGAAGTGAGGGGGAATCCCCTTGGGGTGCCACCGCTGCGACAGAGCTGGTGTGGTGTTAGCGTGTCTATTTGTTCCTATGCCTGTGTCAGCCTGTCCTTCCTGTGAGTGCGTGTCCATGTAGACCCGTCGCCGTGGCGACTGCTATGACACGGCTGCCTGTCACCCGGCAACCCTAGAATGACTTACTCAGCAGGGCTCGCAGCTGCTGTTTCTGTGCCCCTCAGGTTAAACTTGCCCCCCCCCCCCACCCTCTCAACCCCAGCTGTCTCGATAAACAGTCACAGTTTTGTACAGTCGGAAAAATCTTTGGCAACGCTGTGTGGCTCTGCTGCCTTGCAGATGAGCCCTGCAGCCTTGCAGATGAGCCCTGCTGCCTTGCAGATGAGCCCTGCTGCCTTGCAGATGAGCCCTGCAGCCTTGCAGATGAGCCCTGCCGGACTATGGAAGCGGATGAGATGACTCTCTGGGATGTATTTGTCAAAACCAAGCCTGCCACTATTATCCCCCCCCCCAAAATTGATGATTTGCCAGCTGTTACTGTTACTGTTACTGCAGGCAGCCTTGGTGGCCCGGTGAGAGGTGGCCCTAGGTTCTCCTCCTGTCATGCAGACGGATGTTGCCCGCTACAGACACTGGTGAAACCGGGACGTCTGTCGTGTGACGGCAGCAGTGTGCTCGGACTGTCTCGCGGGTTCCGACGCTGGGGGAGGCGCAGCGTGACCCGGTGGCTCGGAGGCGGGCTTGGGGACGTCCGCCGTGGGAGGGTCCTGCACAGGTATAGGGTCCGTACTATGCGCGCCAGGACCGACCACCACGGTGTGCCGTCGCCACGCCCGCCTCCGCCTCCGCGTCTCGGGCGACACTGGCTTCCGTAGGCCGACGCCCCGTAGGTCGTCGGCGGACCCCAGGATGCGTGTCCGCACCTGTGCGGCCAGCGAGCCCCACCCTGTGGCAGCTGGCGAGGAGGATGTCAGATTGGCACTGTGCGCTGGGGGTGGGGTGCGGCTCTGCCCGGCACCCTCTGGTCTGCTGCCAGCTGCAAGAGCTGCCGCTTGGCTGACCGGTGCCATCGAAGCTTCCCCATTGTCCGTCCGATCTTCCTCATTGGCTGGCTCCTGCACCAGCTCCGAGCTGAGGGACCGCCCCTTGGCTCTCTCCGCCCTCGTCTTTTTGCGTGCCAGCGTGTCGCACTGGATGAGCTTGTGGGAGTTGAAGGACGGCCGGAGGTTAAGCTTGTGTGTGGCAGAGGAAGACGAGGAGGAAGAGGGAGTGGTCGACCGAGCCCTACTGTCGCTCCTTTCGACGGGGTTGGAGGGTGCCTCAGCGGGGGTGGGGTCAGGAGTGGGGGCGGGGCTTGGCACGGTAGAGGATTTGTACTGGGTGTACAGGAAGCTACGTGGAGGTAACGGTGGCTTCTCTGGCCTCTCCTGCGTGAGGGAGCGCGAGGCAAAGCCGCTCTCGTTGTCCGTCTCGCTGACCAGCTCGCTGCGCTCGTCGTCCGCCTCTTCTCCCCGCCCCTCGGAGGCGGGGCCACGGCCCAGTGTGGACAGGGTGGAGTAGCCTGACACGATGGAGCGCGCATCTTCCGGGCTGTGCCACGTCGGCGCCTTGCATGCCTCTCCCTCCTCCTCCTGCTCCAGGGCCCTGCCCTCGTGCCCCGCCTCCTCCACCAGCTGGCATGAGGGCTCCTCCTCCTCCTCTGTGGCCTCTCTTCCTTCCTCTTCCTCCTCCTCGTCCTCTTCATCCTCCTCCCCCTCTGCCCTGGGGGCCGTGTCCCCCTCTGCCCCGCCACAGTGGCTCACCTTGCCGGGTTCTTGTTCCGAGTCCTCGTCCGTGCTGTTGCTAATAGGCCAGCTACTGAGGGGCTTCTTGCGCTTACGTGCGCGCGTGACGGCGGACACGATGGAGAGCAGGTCCTTGGCGTTCAGGTCTAGCTTTGACCCCCATGAACCCTGGGGTAGCAGAGGAGACAGTCAACGGGGAAGGTGGCAGACCCCAGTCATTCACCAACAGCACCTAAAAACCCAAGGCTAACACAGAGAGCGGCCATTTTCTGTATCTTTGTCAGGCAATAGAAACTAAAGAATTTTCCTAAATGCTGATTGTTGCTATTGAAAATTGCTGAATTGTAACACTTTTCTTATACAGATACTCCTCACTTAATGACCTAGCTGATAAGGACAATCGACACATCGCTTTAAAGGTGAATGCGTACTTGCGTACCAGTTATGTGCATCCTGTTTATAAATATACTAAAAATGTTATAAATGGTGCAAAGGCAACATTAAAAGTATATCTAAAGATGTTTGACACAAACTCACTACCAGTAGCCTACAGATTGTTTGAAGTATCAGTAAGGGGCAACTCCTCGCTTATCGACCGATTCACTGTACAACCTAGTCGTAGGAACAGAACTCGGTCGTTACGTATGGAGTACCTGTACTTTAAGCCTTTCATATCCACAAACGAATGCTTACTGTATAGTACTGTTATTGTAACATACTGCTGTATGAAATATTTGGACAGAATACAAGACATTATGAGGCAAACAATGGCAAATCAAGCGGAACGAAGACTAACGCGTGCCACCCTGTTGACTTATGTATTGTGCAATGCTTATCTTGGTTATTTTCAGTTAGCGTTTTTTTATTGCACAGTATTACCTCTTATTATGAATTTTTTATATTTTTATTTATATTTCAGATTTGTGACGGCTACATAAGCATTTGCCGGGTACGAGAACATTTGCTGTATAAGAAAGGCGCATCACCATCACAGTGTTACCCATAATGCCGTGCATGCCCGTGTGACACATTCAGTACATCCATAGTACTGCAAAGGGCCGCAATCTCATGGTTGATCTCACAGTATTTGACTTGGGCTCCTCGTAATTAGCTCTTGCCTCATTATACAAAAAGTGCCGTAAGCCCTGCTTTTGCTTCACTAACCTTGGATTTCGCTGATTCACTGTTGGTTGAATCTGCAAAAGTAATAAGAGGAGAGGTCAGGGGGGGGGGGAATAAAATCACGATTCTGCGTTAGAGGAAAGGGTGGGCTGGAAAAGACATGGAGGGGACAGGACAGGCGGCACGGTATCAGTCAGCAGCCGTGTGCTTGGGTGAGATGCAACGTGTCACTGTCTGAAAAGCGGCACTTGAGAGAATGAAATTACTAAACAGCTTATTGTGCCATAAAGGTTGTGAGTAATTATATAGTGACATGTTATTAAGGGAATAACAGCAGTGTCTGGCCACGTCGCTGTTCTTCCCCCCTCCAGGGAGAAGACCCAGCTCTCAGGCTCAGTCTAAACAGAACAGTCTGACTTCCTGCAGCGATTGTCATTAGACTGTGGGTCTCGACACAACAACATGGCAGCCACATATCTCGGGGGGGGGGGCAGCACAGGAATCGCAGTCGCTCGGTGATGATGCCATATCGGTGTATTAGGAGCAAGCTCAGGTGCGGGTGGGGGGCAGAGACAGCGGCGGGTGGGGGCTCCCGGTTGCTGGGGGTAACGGGGCGTCCGTTTATCGACCTTAGGTGAGACGCAAGCGTGGATGGGTGGAAGAGGACGTGTGGATGTTGATTTGTAACAAACACCAAAGTACAGAGGAGACAGCATGGGAATGACTGTGATTATAAATGAAGTTCCAGTGAAAGATCGCTCCAATACGACTGAAATCACAGAATCACGCATTCACACATACAAACACACACACGTGCAAAGTGCTCAGGAGTTTACACTGAAGTAAAGACAGAGAAACTGTGTAAGCAGTCATGATCAGTGAGTTTAGTGTTGGCCAGGGACTTTATTCCATGAGGTAGGGCTCACAGAGAAAGAGAAAGATCACAGTTAATCCATTAATCAATTAATTTAACTGGGTACCAACAGAGGTATGGTAATGTTTACTGGAAACAAATCTTTCATTGAGACTGAGAGGTAAGTGGATCTGCGGCAAGAGTGATCTCTCTCACACACACAGACACATATACACACACGGACACAGAGACACACACGGACACAGAGACACAAACACGGACACAGAGACATTATGCCAGGAGAAGTCCTACCGCATTGAGGGCTCCACAGGCTCAGCTAGTAGAAAAACGCAGAGAGGTACAAGAGAGAGAAACGTGGGAAACTGGCACACAAGGAACGTCGGAGTCCGCGAGGGGCTGAGAACACGCGGACGCGCCGCTGGCTTTCATTAAAGCACCACTTCGGTGAAAGGGCCTGAGGTCGCCATGGGAACAGCACAGCGCCACGTACGCCGTGGATGTTAAGGAGGGGAGGTGGGGGTTGAGGTCTCACCTGAGGCCTCAGGAAGCGCCGCCGTCCTCCCAATGTTGGACAACAGGTGGTCGATGTTCGGGACTGGCTGTTGGTCCTCCTTGTCCACTGGTGTCTGCCGGGAGGGGGGGGGGCGCACACATTAGAACAGATGTGGCAGGGGGGGGGTATTACCACTTTCCAGTGAAATCCCAGAAAGCCCAGAAGACGGATACCTTTTCATCCTTGTCCAGGTCCTCGCTGAAGAACCACTCAAACTGGGATGAAGAGAGAGGCTGGGTGTCATTCCTCTGTCCTGCTTATTTCGTCCTTCACTTTTTCATTAAAAAAAACCTTCTACTACTCTGTCAGATTCTGCTCCCCAGTTCTGTCACTTCTCCCTCAAAAACAAAATCTCTGTTCCTCCGAGAAACTCACCACCAATGGCTGCAGGAGCAACTGACAACCTGCAGTACCTAGCCGGATCCGTAAGGGGCGCTACTGCCCCAGTGGCAGAATGCCGTTCAGAATGTTAGAACTCGGGCAGCTCAAGCCATGGTCTGGGCCTTGGTGGAGGACTCTGTCCTCAGGTTAATGGACAACACTCTAGGCATATTCACATCCCTTGCTTTCAGTTCACGCTGTTTGTCGTTTACTTGACTAATATACATTATTTTCCCTTGCATGCAACCATGAGCATTTAAAGCTAAACGGTAAATTAATAAAATGAAACAATTTTACCGATTACTAAAGCACACAGGCTTCAATTGGTGAGTTTCTGATATGAAACAAACTATCTAGAACATTATTGGAATTTGGCAAGATTTTGAGTCACAAGCTTTGGAAAGGTAGGTGTGATATTTTGTACTGATGATCTGTTATAACACACACTAGTATCATATTTCATACACTGACTAATTTGGATGAATAAATGTAAATTAATGTAACTGCACTGGGCACTGGGCACCAGCAGGGGGCAGTGCAGATCATGGGATGCATGAAAGTGGGCTGGGACTCACGTGCTGGATCAATGTCTCCACTATCTTGTAGCGGTCAGGCATGTGGGTCACCATGTCGGTCATGTTATCCTCGGAGGTTCGCACCAGGGTGGGGCCAAACACTAGCGCCAGGTTACGGGGTTCCATCTACAGATGAGGGGGGGGGGCATGGTGAGGGATTTCTATGCCCATCCACAGATCTCTCTCTTTCTTATAACTAACCATGATGGCGGTCGAATTCACCATGTGAGTAAAACATATTTCATAAACAATTTAAGCTGGGTGATCTCTTTAAACTAAAATAATAAATGACTTTATTTATTTAATCTCAACAAAATGTGCTGCTCCAGCATTTCATAAAAATAGAAGATGTTTATTTAATATTTGGTGTAGTGACTTTCTGTGAACAACAGGGGGCTCCCAAACCTCAGGGACCCCATGCAAATACAATGTGTGAGTGATGGAGTCACTGCTGCTGATTTACTGATTACTTCCCACATTCCACAGCCATGTTCTGGAATGTAACAATAGAATCAAATGTGTGAATGTGTGTGTGTGTGTGTGTGTGTGTGTGTGTGTGTGTGCATAGGCATTCCCCATCGTGCGGTACGCGTGACCCGGAGCGCCCAAATGCCCGCATGCCCGCTTGCCCACGGGACGGTGCGCTCCGCAGACCTTGTTCTTTTCCGAATGATCCGCCACAGTCTTCAAGTGGCCCATCAGGAATTTCAGGGTGTGGAAGTAATAATCTGGCAGGTCGTGGATCTAGGAGAGGTGGAGAGAGAGTGCACAAGAGAGAGAGAAAGAGAGGGGGAGAGAGAGAAAGGGAGAGGTCGGGAGAGAGAGAGCGAAAGAAAGAGAGGGAGAAAGAATGAGAAAGTCAGAGAAAGAGAGAGAGGAGGCTTGTCAGGGACAGACTAGCCCAGGCTGGCGGGGATGTGTGACATGTAAGTCACGTGTGCATGCACACGCACACGCACACGCACACGCACACATATACATGCACGCACACACACACCAGTTTCCTCATGGTCTTGAGCCTCTCGCTCGCGTTCTCCATCCGGTTGGCGTCTATGAAGTCGTTGTACTTATCTGGGGGTGAAAGGGAAACTCGATTCAGTCCGGATACTTCCATGAGGAGCACGATGACAACACACAAGCAGGCACGCTTAGTCACAGCCCATTTCACAACTGCGTCATTAAATCAATCATCCACCTGAACGAAGGCACAGGGATCGCACGAGTGGCCCTCTTCGTATGAATATCCGTGTTTGCACTCTGTCACGTCTGCTGCGGCCTTTACTCTCCGGCCCGTCGTGCTCCTCTGCACACCCTCCTCCGCTCTGAACTGTTAACGTGCTCCCCTGAATGACTAGCTAGTTAATGGCCCGTCGGAAATCCCCAACAACAGGAAGCTCCAGTTCATTTTGGTCTCCCATCTCATACTACCCACTGGACTTGCCATACATAATTCACAATAATAATAATAGTAGTCGTTTCGCCATTTTCTTTTAATTTGCGGTAGTTTTGCACCCTGTTGCTTATGCTAAAAGTGCCTGGTGTAGCACGCATTGCATGTGACTCGTGTTTGGCACCCCCCCCCACATACCGTTGGTGAAGACAGGCTCTGGCAGATTCCGGAAGAAGGACTTCAGCAGGCTGCTGATCACGTTGAGGTCCTGCCATCGCTACGGGGAGAGGATTGAGCATTAGCGCCATGCTAGCAACCAGCGCTCGTTCCCAAAAGAGGACTGAGTGTTAGCGACATGCTAGCGACCTGCACACATTTCCAAAAGAGCACTGAGTGTTAGCGACATGCTAGCGACCTGCACACATTTCCAAAAGAGCACTGAGTGTTAGCGACATGCTAGCGACCTGCGCTCATTCCCAAAAGAGGACTGAGTGTTAGCGCCATGCTAGCGACCTGCGCACATTTTCAATACGGGAGAGAAGTGTTGACAGAAATCTCCTCGTCACCCACTAGTGAATTTAACAAGTGGGTTAGCTGTTCTATGGCTCCACCTCACCTCCTCGGTCGGGTTGATGTCCATGCCCTTGTTCAGCTGCTCCTGCAGTGTGGACACCATGGCATTGTTGCCCGGTACCCTGTAAACGCCAGTGTACTCCAGGCCCATCTGCTCCACCAGCCCACAGCAAATCTCCACAACCAGGGGGACGAACTGGACAAGTCACACAGAAGTCAATGTGAGACACTGTCATCAGCAGTATCATCATTAGTGTTGTCATTGTCATCATCATCATCATATGAATCAGTGTCATTACCATAATCATCTTAGTCACTCTCATCAATGCCGTCCTCCTCACGATCATCATCATCACGCCCATCGTCATCATTCACTATTATGATCTTTTCAGTGGTGCTCCAAATATAATTCTCTACCTTTCACCGCCTTGTCATCTTTTGTGTACATTTACCGTCACATGTACTAGCTACTTCATTCAAAAGTAATGCAATTACTTTACCAATTACCCTCCAACTCCCTTCCTGGATAGGTACTATCAAGTAGGTTTTCTATCCTACCTGGCTTCTGATGAGCCACACCTGTTCTCAGGTAAATATAAGGAACAGGTGTGGCTCATCAGAAGCCAGAAACAGGACAGAAAACCTGCTAGACAGTAGCTCCGCAGGTGACCCCTGTACTAGGGAAAGTAACTTTTGAGTTAAGTTACATTACCTGTTACTGCCAAAAGTAGTGGAATTACACTACCAACAGTGGCCAGAGTGAGGCGCTCTGGAGCAAATGCCCTCCTGCTTTCATAAAGACACATAAATGCAGCTTCACTTATGATTCTATTTTTAATAGTGCTGACCCCTGGGACCCCTGGTACCCTTTAGGTGAAACGCCCCGGAACGGACCAAGTCAGGAGGGGGGGGGAGACAGAAGTGTGGGGAAGTGACGTCTCCTGACCTTGTGGTTGATGGCCGGCTGGCAGTCCTCTAGTCGCACCCCAAAGGCCTTAGGCCCAGACTTCTTGGACTTCTTCATGATGTTTATGCCCCAAGGTGACTTGGGCGGGCTGCTCTCCTCTGCAGACGAAGGAGACAAACAAGGGCAGGTCATTGAAAGAAGCTGGCGCACACCCCCACTTGGCAGATTGGGTTAGTCGCTCAGGCTCTCACCCTTGCTGTCAGGCTTGGGGGAGCGTGGAGCTCCCGTCACATTGTCCATCTTGGCCATGAGGAAGGGCGGTATTATCCTGGGCACCCTGGGAGATGAGTCCGGCTTGTTTCCCGTTGGACTACGAAGGGTAACAAGTGGCATACGGACTTAACGCTGGCAGCTAAGACTCATAAAAAAAATGGGGCTCATTGACTGTTTCGCAGGTGCTTACCTGTGCTTCCTGTACTCGTTCAGCTTCTTGTTTATCAGAGCTTGACGACAGGAACCCAGTTCCTGGAAGAGCGAGGCCGCATTTTAGCATACAGGTATAAACAGAGCGGAGCTCAAGACGGATGCCAAGTTTCCGCGCTTTTCAGCGTGTCTTTCCGCAGTTTGTTTTCCATGCTTCACTGCCAGTCAAACATCAGGCCGTTTTTTTAAATTCAGTGCCAGTCAAATCCCTGCCCCCAATCTGGCAACCCAACCTGAACTGTGCCATTATGTTAATGAGGTGGTAAGAAAACCTTTTAAACAAGTATTAGTTAATGGCAGCAGTCATGTGTGGGTGTCATTTTATTAATTCCGGTAGAGGTCAGACTGACGTGAGCAGCCATGTGAAAAATGAGGATCTGAAACCCACTGGGATTATCCTGCTCTGTCAGTCACAGGCTGGTCTAACTCTCACTGGATACTGTATTGCCTCCCACTTGGTTAAACCAGACCCTGATTGGCAGAGTCTAAAAATCCCACCCACTGGAGTTTCTAAGCGCAATGTCTCCTAATGTTAGTCGAAAGGCTTCTCTGAATGTTACTATGAAACTATTTAAATGCAATATTTAAATGCTTTTAACATAACTAAATAATTAAAATGCTTAACAATCTATCCATCCATCCGTGTACTGTTCTTTTTATACAGTATATTGCAGATAATAATTACTTATCATTACAAAGTATAATGTAATTATTCCTGGGTTTCATTGTTAAAGAAGATGTCCCGGACCAGAAAAGTCTCACGTCGTCATGGCTACTGGGCGTGAGCCCCACCCCCTGACCTCGCTGTCGGTCTTGCTGCCTTCGCGGATGACCTTGATCCAGCTGAGCATGTCGTCGCGGTCCTCGGCCTGCAGCAGGTACTCGCAGAAGTCCTGCGTGCCGAGGCGCAGCACGTGCTTGCGTTTGGTCTCGCTGTACGCGATGTCCGCCAGGCAGCCGCGGATGCTGATGGGCTGCTCTTCATCACCGTGCCCCGACCCAGTGGCGCCCCCTAGGGCAGCGCCGTGCAGCACCGCCTCCCGCTTGTCCTTGTAGAGGAAGAGCGAGTGGGAGCGCAGGACGCAGAAGACGCGCTTCCAGGGTCGTATCCCTCCGCCCACCTTCTGCGGTGCACAGAGAGAGTGGGGCATCCGGTCACTTTCCCCTGGTATGCAGAACCCAGCCGCGTGGGCCAGCATTACAAACCTCCCCCATTAAACTAGCACAATGCTGAAGCTTATGTGTCCTTCTCACATGTTCCCGTTTCAGAGCCTCCCAATGGCTATCCTTTGGTCACATGACCAGCTCTGACTAAATCTCTTACCCTGGTTTCGACCCCAGCACTGACCTTGCCTCTGATCCCAGCACCGACCCCAGCACTGACCTTGCCTCTGATCCCAGCACCGACCCCAGCACTGACCTTGCCTCTGATCCCAGCACCGACCCCAGCACTGACCTTGCCTC